GGCCCAGAAAGACCCTGCCTTGGGCTATCTAAGGACATCAGAGCATCACGGGAACCCACGGAGTTGCTCACCTGTGGTAAATTGAGTCAGTGTTGTTTGCGAACCGGCAGCGACAAGTTTACAGCACCCAAGTGTATAAGTGAGGAATTAATGCAGGATACAGTCCGGTCCTGGTCCTGAATGGCAGGGGACTCAAACTGGAAAGCCCCAGGAGTCTCTTGCCTGCCGTTCCCAGTCAGGGAACCATATGATAGAACTGTGGGGGACCAGCAGTGGCTGAAAAGATAAGAAGTATGAAATATAAATAACTTTTATTTTGAGAATGTGGGGAAAGACACTTCCAGTCCTCTGGGGTGCGGCCTCTCCCCCCGGATCGATGATCTCTCCATGGAACACATGGAGTGGAGGCATATAAGTAGCCTCGGTTTGGGGTGAACCTAAGGGGGCATTAGGGATTCACAGGTAGCCCATTGGTCTTTGTTTGGCGCCATAGGTAAATCCCTAGGGGTGGGGGAGATGGAACTCCTTGGTTCTACCTGAGGCTTTTCCAGCTACAGTGTCCGGCCTGAGCCAAAACTCTTTAAAGATTCAGTTTATATACTTCTTGCAAGAATAGTATGGAAGTAATGCTGTGTTCTTACTGAGTTACATAATTCATACTTTCATTCTGTTTCATTATTGATATTCACTTTGATAACTGAGGTGCTATCTGACATGTTCTCCTCTATCAAGTTACTCTTTATCTCTTTGGAATTAGAGTATTTGGTAGAGAGGTACTTTGAAACCATTTAAATACCTCATTTCTCATTAAACTTTTAATATACTTATTTTTATATCACTATAGACTCTTCCTTACTTTATTCAATGGATTAAAATCTTACAACTCTCATTTGTTTTGATCCTCAAAGTATTTTTGGTTTGCCCAGCAAGAGTCCATTTAAGCTGGGTTTTTAGTCTTCCTGACTCATCGTCATTATTTTAGCAGTTTCCCACTTTTAGATAAAAGTCAAATATGCCAGGATCATGGTGTACTTTACTTGGGACAAACCATTTCTCCATATTCAACTGGTTTCTGTTAGCAAAAAAATGGGGCATAGCTGACAAGATCGGGGCAATATCCTGCTTGGTGCTGTGCGTGTGCATGTGTATGTGCATATACATGTACACACACATGTACATGCACACACACACATTCACCGTTACCCTTTATTTCTGTGTCGGTCTGTAGATTGAAAACCATGAATTCACAGCATGTCCAAGCATGGTCTCCGAGAGAGGTTCATTTAGTTTATTACCTTTCTGTCCTTACTTTTTCTTCTCTTCCAGATACCAACTTGCATTATCATTAGCATGTTTGCATCTTTGAACAGTCTTCCTGCATGTAGTCACTTGTTATTTGGATGTTGGTGCCTTCCTCATGTGGGTGTCATTCTCAACCAGTGTGGATTCTGACACCTTGAGCTAGGTCACCTGCTTTGCCCTCCCCTCCCCACTTTCCTCCTTTATTTGTTCCTCCCTGCCTCCTTCCTTCTTTTGCTGGGGACTCAGTCCAGGCCCCTCTCTTGCTAAGTACCTGTCCCTCCTCCCTGGGGCCCCCTGCCCTCTGTCAGGCTGGCTCCTACCCTGCAACACTGGGCCCATTGAGTACCTTCTGCACAGATCTGTACCTTGTTCTGCTCCCCTCGTGGACTCGGGCCTGAATTGTTGTGAAAGAGGAAAGGGTTAAATGTTTTTAGTGTTTTATTTTGGGGACTCTTTATTCACAAGTAATATAAATACAACTTACGAAAAACTTAGTAAGAAAATAAGGTTTGTTCTATAGACGTGTGCTTTTAATGAACTTTCATTACATTTTTTCATAAAATGTGGTACAATCATTAGGAAAGGTTCTGTCATCTTTGAAATTCCTTCTACAGTTAATGTTAATTATTATCACCATAGTTTTGTTCTTTCACTAGATATATACTTGTCTAGTAAACCAAATTGTATGTGACTTTTAAGATTAAAAAATAAAACTTTTAAGATTAAAAATTAAAAATTCATAGAAAGATTGCATGTCAGTGTAATTATCTTACTTTCAAATTCAACTCTGTCAGAAAACCGTGTGGTATCTTTATAAACTAGGCACTGCTGTAAAGGCATTGGTAAAATAGCACTGTGGACTATAAAATAGGAGGGCTAATATAGAGCGCTTATGGTATCTGAAAAGCAAAACCTCAAATAATTTGGCAAGTTTGCTCTGCGTGTATTAGATTTATCCAATAGTAGCAGATAGTATTCAGTAATAGACTGATAGTTCCTTAATAGACTGATAGTTCCTTAATGTCTTTTGAGTTATAATATCTTCTAGATGATACTTTGTCTTTTACTTTGCTTTTATTCTGCATGCCTTAAAAATAGTCTGCCTGCCAGGTCTTGTAGTGTACATCTATAATCCCAGCACTTAGCAGCCTGAGGCAGAGGGAACACTTTGAGTTTGAGGCCAGCTTTGGCTACAAAGTGAGTTCAAGGCCAACCAGAACTGCATAGTGAAACCCTGTCTCAAAAAGACCAAAACACAAAGGACAAAAATTGCTTTCACCAAGTCTTTAAAATGTGATCTGCATAGAAATGACTTCCAAATGTGCATTTCCAATTCAGAACCAGCCTGGATTAACTTTTTGTTCTCTGCCTAGACCTGAAAAAGACATCTCAAACTTAACATGTTTAAAGCCAAATTCCTAAAATTCCCTCTTCTGAAAATTAGCTGTTCTTTTAGTTTTTTCCACCCTGGATAATGACATTCCTTTTTCTAATATTCTCCCTCTCCCGTCCTCCTTCAGGTCTCTCTTGGACTGTATCTTACATCTGGCTATTTGTCCCTAGTTCCCTTTCACCATCCCCTTTCATCTGGACTATTGCTATAATCTGTTAAGTGGTTCTCTTGCCATGACTTTTGTTCCCTTCTCATGTTAATGTATTATCTGAGCCAGCCTTTTCAAGAGTGAGCCCGTGTTCCCTTTGTGCTTGCAATTCCCTAGTGGCTTCTGACCCATTCCTTACCGAATCTAAATTCCTGCGTTGCGATTTAGGTGTAGAATGTCCCCCAGATGCCGCATGTAGGCCACAGTGGGGTTTTCATAAGGTGATTGGGTCACAAGGGCTCTAACTTCATCAGTGGGTTAATCCACTAATGAGATCATAATCCTACAGCATTACTGGAAAGTGATGGAAAATTAGGAGCTTGTGCCTTGTTTTGAGCGGAGTGGTCCTGGGTGTGACCTCAGGGACCATATCTGGTCCCAGCCCCTTCCCCACTCTTGTAGCACTCCTCCATCACACCCTTCCACCATTTCTCTACCTCACCACGGTTGACCCAAAAACCCTGAGACCATGAGCCAAAGTAAATCTTTCCTCTGCTAAGTTGTTGTTCTCAGGTTTTTGGTTAGAGCAACAGAAAGCTGACCAAAACACCCTCTCACACATCACAAGTTCTATACTGATTTGGGTCCCCCCTTCTCTTTGCTATTTCCTAAGTCATCTTTGCTATTTTCCCCTGCTTAGTCCTTTCCAGCCACATGGGCGTCCTTGCTGTTCTTGAACACACCAGCATTATCCTTGTGGGGCTTTGCACTGGCTGAAATAGTCTGATTTTATTCAAAAGGTGCTACCTCAGAAAAATCTTTCCTGATCATCCTATGAAATCTCCTTCCTTTGTTTATTATTTTTCTTTAGCATTCATCAGTACTAACAAAGCATCTGTTTAACCTATTTATGTTACTCATGGTTTATCTTGCCGAGACTCTAAGCTAGCATTGCACCCTGACTGTATACATTGGTATGTTTCCTATATTCAGTATTTGTTGAAGGAAGCAATTATATATTACCCATTTCACCAAGAGGAACTAAAAACATCAACTGGTTCGTGGAACTAGGTTAAAGAATTTATTTAATGGAAAATGTGAATTAGTTGTATTTTGGTTTAGAATTTAAGCTGAGGATAGTGGTGCATGCCTGTAATCCCAGCACTTCAGAGGCTGGGGCTGAAGAATCTCCATGAGTTTGAGGCCAGCCTGGGTTATATAGTGAATTTAAGGCTAGCCCGAACTACACAATGAGACCCTATCTGGAAAAAAAAAAACTAATAAATGTATGTACAGTTTAAAAAATGAGCATTCATAAACAGCTGGTTGGAGTTTAACTCAGTGAATCTGGAGGACTATGTAACAACTTTTAAAAGTGAACAAATGTTAGAGATACTGCCTCTTGGAATTTATCCTGCTAAAATGAATAACTACAAAATTCAGATACAAGCGTTTTATTTTAGGATAATTCATAATATATATAAAGTTGAAAACCAGGTCAACCTATAAACAGTGGAACGCAAACAATGATCAAATGAAACAGTGGAGTACTTTGTTGCTGTTAAAAAGTTGTGTTGTATGTCAGCCAGTCACAGAAAAGTGTTTATTATGTATTAGATTTTTAAAAGGTATAAAATAGTGCGTCTCTTATCACTCCCCATGGCTCCCTTTGAAAGTATAAAAGCATCTAAAAGGGTCTGGAAGGGTATTAATGATGTCTGGGTTTGGAGATGATCTAGGTGTTTCTAATGATGTTTATGGCTAACTGTTCTTGCAGAGTTCCTTCAGTGAACTCTTAGACCCGCTGCTCTCTATTCGTGGAGTTTGTCTTAGTAGCTGCCCCACACTAACATATCGTGTATGTCATCATGTTAATTATCATGTGTCCGCTGCCCTCCTGCTAGGAACAGAGCTGCGTAGTTCACAGCTGTAAGCGGGAAGCTAGGGAAACAGCTGGCGTGGGGGGCGGCTGCTGTGGTAGTGAATGTTTAAGATAGAGGAGTGGATGCATTCTTACTGTTAGAAGGCAGAGAACTAGTGTAAGTAAGATTTCGAAAGCAGTGTAGTAAATGCCACATTTTATAGCATGAGATTTTAGTAGGAGAAAGAATTTGTAATAAAGACTTCTAATGAGCTTTTCTTCTTTATTTTTTCAAGGTTTCTAAATATTCTTTGCAGAAGAAAGTAAGTGAGATGGTAAGGAAGTGACACAACATATATTTCCCCGACCTGGATTAGTACATAAGATGCACAGTACTTTTGTGAATGTAAATGTGATATTTATGGTTAAAAACATTAACAGATGAAAATGGCTATTATTACCAACTTTAAGAGCTAGACTTGTAATTTCAGTTCAGTAAATGAATTCTTTCATAATGAATTCTTTCACAAGTTTATTTGCAGAAGATATAGTGCTCATATTATAAAATAAAATGTGAAACTATTTTTATGATATATTTCCAGATACTCATGCAAACATGTAATTAGTATAAAAAATTGAAATAGATGAAGTGGCATTTGGGATAAGGTAATCATCCTTTTCGTTATACATTAAGATGTGGTATTTATTTTTCAACAAGTATTTGTTGTGAATTTCTCTTTCCATGTATATAAAAATACATATTTTTGTTTTTACAGTGCAAAATTATATGAACTATGCTTCTTTTCTAGCCCTACTTAATCCTGCAGGACTTATGTGTGTGTGGTTTTGACTGAGGAGAATTCTCCTATATTCACTTAGATCCTTAGAAAGCTTTTTGTGGTAATGCTATTTTAATCTTTATTCTTTGTAAAGCAAGTAAAATTAATTTTCAGTCTAGTTTCTCATTCCTTATGACATTAAGTATAAAAACATAAGATAATATTTTGCTTCTTGAAATTATTTTGATGTTTTAGAAAATAAAAGAGCTCTTAGATTGTTAAGCTTGATTGACTAAAAGATGTGAAATTCTGTTGCTGTTCAACTGGAAAGAATAAAATAGTATTGCCAGACTATTTTAAACTGTGATTTTAATTAAGAAGCTGAAAAACTAGATTCCAGTTTGGCTTTAAGTACCATGACATTTGTTCTGAAAGTCATCTTCAACGCTACAGTGATTTTACACAAAATACAGTGAAATTGAATAATGTGTCCTTTGACCTGGGAGATAAGGCTACAAGTTAAAGATCAAAAGCAACATCAAATGTGTATTGTTCCAGTTTAAAATTTTATTAAACATATGTTTATAATCTTTAAAAAAAAAGAAACTTGTAGTACATACTTAGTTTTGTTCACTTCCAAGCTTTTTGTGGTTGTGAATTACAACCTATTAATGTACTAAAATATTTGAGTTATAGTGTTTTTCTGACAGTTCAAGGCATTTTATTGATTTTCATTAAAGTAATTTTATGTTGATCCATACATTAATATCTTAGGCCTACTCTGACAGTATTTTTTAATTTAACAGGTAAAAATATTTTTTAAATATTCAGATGTATCTTTATCTTACATAATAATTCTGAATTTTTCATATATATATATATAAAACCTCACGCCTGCCAGGCAGGTACTTATGGTGCTGACCTAAATCCTCGACTGTCTCATATTCTTATGTAATTTATATTGACATTCCTGTATTAAAAGTTGATCATTTTTAGAGTGGTACATCATTATTTTTATATTATTTGACTCTATAATAAAAACAGGACAAAGACTGACAGTGGTGTCAAGGCAAAAGTTTGAAGAAATTAGGACACTAAAAATAATGTAAGAAACTTTTAACAGAAGTTCATGCTTTCTTATAGTTGAGCACCTAACTACTAGTAAATTTACGTTTTTTGGGAATTCAATAAGCTGATTTTCTTATAGAGGTGGTATTGATAAATTAACATACCAGAACTCAGAAGATTTGTGTATTTCTAAAACTACTCAAACCTCTCTTCAAAAAAAATCAAGCATTGCCAATTACAAGAATGCAACAAAACATGATTATGGGTGTGTACCACCTCACTTAGCTGGTAAATGTATTTCTAAAAATCGTGTGCCAATATTTGTAAAGGATTCTCACTTTAAATGTCTCAGGTTCAAGACCATGCTTCTAGTTTATCTTTTTTCTCTAATCCACATTTGTATAGATTAGATGCATTTAAGATGGAGCACATGCGTGTTTATAAAACTATATCTGAACATTATTTTCTTGTGGATTAAATTGTGTATTTAGTGGCTAAGTTGTATAAAAGAAAAAATAACAATCACAGAGGCAAGAAGAACAAAATGTGCTTAGTGTACACTTGTATTTAATTATTAGTCATCTCAATGAAATAAGCTTTGTTTCCTACTGTGTAATATGAAAGTTTTAATAGTAGTCATACCATTACTGTGTTATTCTTTAAAATGTTCTTGGTAGTGATTACCACTGCATTTTCTTGTTGCTTCTCAAAGAATTTGAAACTATGGGTAGTGCAGTTAGTGGCAGACCTGAGAACTCGGGACTGTCGGGGTAGCCAGCTGGCTCAGTGGGTGTGTGGGCTATGGTGAGCTTCCAGTGCCCATGGGGTCTTGTCAGTATGCATTGTGTTCACTGAACAGGCCAATGCACTTGGGAAACAGAATTATGCCATAAAAACAAATGAAATGACATTTGTATTGAATGCAACTTTGGCTTCAGCAAAGGACGATGGAATAGGCTATATCACAAGTTAATGTGTGTAGAGCTCTAGAAGTAGGAAGCACCTATGAAATCTCTGGCCTTTTTGGTAACAGAATTGCAAACCCTTTTGGGTACTGACTACCTACTACTTTTTAGTTGAAAAGTTGTGTGTTGTTGGGACCATGTATTACTATAGTAGAGTGTTTTCTCTTAAAAGCTACATACATATTCAAATTGAAAGTTTTCTTGAATTTAAAAAAATGCTGTATAACCAGTTCTCAGTGAAATCCTAAAGGGTTTTTACATGTATTCTGAAAGCTATTCTACTTCTGTCAATCAGGAGTTAAATGATATTTTAGAGGAATTGAATATAGCTCATTATTTTTCATTGTTAACAGTTGTCAACAACTAGTTCAAATGATCAAGTGATGATGTCAAAAAGCCCACAAAAGGATTTGAGAAACTTTGAACTGACCTGTTGTAATCATTACTGGGTATATTGTAACTTTGGTTAACGTCATTAAAAAATATTATACTTGTCAAGATAATATAGTTAGGTGCAGCTTAAATTATGTGTTTTTGATGAATATAAGAGAAAGCTCTTCTTAGTCTACAATTAAAACTATTAAAGATACTTTTGTCAGTTAAAGAATAATCACAAATTATTATATTGTCATTATTATGGAATAGGGTCTGTTCTTAGTGCTTTGTATAAATTCATTTCATCTTTACAGAAGCCCTAGGATAGAGACACTCTGATGATCTCCACTTTTAAGATAGTTTGTCCAAGAACTTATAGCTCAGTCACAGAGACAGGATTTAAATATATACAGCTTATCTCTAGTTAACGAACACAACAGAAATTTCAGTGGAGGCGCTAATCAGCCAGAGAGTGGGGCATGCATTTGGGAATAAACAGGGATCAGAGTAAGTTTGGAATTTGCAAGGCAGGATATAGAAAGGCACAGCAGAGGTGTCATACTAGTTTGGATAAGCTCACCACCAAACTTCCATTTTGTTGTCTTTTTGCTCAAGATTAAAATTTGAGAAAAGTAGGTCATTAGTTTATTCTGGGTAATATGCCTTTCCCTTCTCTAGGAGAGACTAAAACTTGTGACTTTTAGTCCTGTGAAGCTAATGAGGAAGAAGGATTTCAGTGAAAAAAGTTATGGAACTGGTAGTATTTGGTAAAGGAAATGGATACGGCTTAGGTGACTTCTGCAAACACCCACTGCTGGAACTCAGGACAGTAGTAACTCATTCAGAAGATAAGTACTGAGTGCCAGTGGATGAGCCTATACTGTTCTTTGTTGCTGTTGGTGTTGTTGTAGCACTGTTCTTTTTTTTTTTTTAATTTTATTTAAGGAGAAAAGAAAAAAAAAGCAGAGAAAGGGTACAAGTTACACAGATTTACAGAAAAAAAAATAAACAGTAGGAAATCACTAGTTAATGGATTACATATTGTCATCTTAGAAATAATTGTTCAAGTCACAAAATTAAAGCTTGTAAAGTGGACGTTCCAACAATGATACTGCAAACAGTTCTGTTCAATGATCCAATAAAACTCTGTGATATCATTTTCTATCTTATACACTTAAATATACATGCAGTTATATAGTTTGGAGCACTTTCTTTTCCTCTCTTTTGTACAATGACTATTACACATTTTGGGTTTCATTGCTCCCACGGTTCTTATTACTTTTTTGGAAGAGAATAAAACCAAATGTTACATAACAGAACAGAATCGGTCAAGTCAAAAGGGTGGACATAATAGATAATGTAAAAACATAATACAAGGTGATCAACAATGGTTACCATAATGCCTCCCGCTAGCTCTAATAGAATTGCCTATATGATTAGTTATAATACAATTGAATAAAACAGTAAAGAATAAAACCAACAAAACCAAAACATTGGAGACATTGTAGGTCTTCAAAAGTAGATAAAAGTCAACGAGAATGTAGCACTGTTCTTTATAGAAGGGAAGCAGTTTTTTTAAAAAAGCTGTAAAGCCAATCAATGATTCTGCTAATGTGAAGATTTTTTAAAAGCCTGTAAAAATTAGTGTTGATTCTACTAACATATTTTTGGGAGTGGTACTGGTAGTTGAACCCGGGGCTTTGCACATGCTAGGCAACTTTTAAAGATTAATGTTAATTCTTAAGTATGGTAAAAGTAACTCTGGTAGTGGAAAGGAGTGGAGATCCTTATATTATAAATAGGGTCCAATTATTACCAATTTTGTGTCTAGTTTAAGTGGATTTTTTACTATACTGTATTGCCTTGCTGTCACTGAGAGTCATTGTCCTTGCATTTTGTAATGCAGTGAGAAGGTGCAGTGTTATTAAAATTAATCTGAGAAAAATTACCTGCGGTTTGACAGTTTGCAAATTTATATTTGCAAACTAAAAGAACAAAGAATAAAAATGACGATTGTTAGACCTTGAATATTCAAATGAACTATTAGAAAAAGAAAAATATTTCCAAGTATCGACTTGTTGATTTAATCCCTTCAATTTATTTAGTGATTGATTAGCTTTAGCTTTTATACATAAATAAAATAGTCAGTTGACTTTGAAAAAGAAGTAGACGGTAGAAGCATTACACGAAGTAACTATTTTGATACAGGAAAATGGTATGCTTTATTTTACATGTATTTAGTAGTATCTCCTAACATTGTCCTCCCAATGGTGTAATTCTAGAGTATTTTTTCATAACATTTATTTTTGCATCTTATCAAGAAGAGTTGTTTATCACTGTCTGCCAGTTGGATATGTTTATGTTTGTGTTATATGAATGACTAAAAATTATTCTTCAAAATAGGAACAAAAGGTTCAGTTCCATCTTCTGGCTAAGGAAGATTATCAGAAGCAGGTAAATGAGATTGAGAAATACTATGCTGTGGTAACACATCAATTTGGATTGGTGAAAGAGAATCATACAAAGTTAGAACAAAATGGTAGGTGTAATTGTTCATTTCCTGTTATCTGGTTTTGAAGTCCTGTAATGCTTTCATTCTTTTGATTGATTCTAAACTATTTTTTTATATTTGACATTATTGTGTGTGAAGGTATGGTCAACTATTTCAAAGAAAAAAAGAAACATTATGGTAGCCACTGTTGATATCCTGTGATCTTGTTTTGAAGTCCTGTATTGCTTGCATTGTTCTGTTCTGATTTGCTTGTTCTGTTTTGTTTTATTCTTTTTAAAATAAAAAATGAAAAAATAGGTGTTATCATATTTAAATTTACATATTCATTAGAGATGATTGAAATGAACTTATGAATACATTGAACTTATCAGATATTAGTAGTAGTAATGAATATTATTTAATCAATATTAAATAATTGTATATATTGTGTTGACACTATTTTCCCTGTGTAAGCTAGTTATATTTTCTTTGAAATATCCCCTGAGTATGTTTTCCTAAATGTCTTTCATTTTACAGTACAAGAAGCAATACAATTAAACAACAGACTTTCAGCTTTAAATAAGAAGCAAGAATCTGAAATATGCAGTTTAAAAAAGGTATAGTTGGTATAATTTTATACTATTAAGAAAAAATTATAGCTTAAAATAGCCTTACTACTGGAAAACAGAGGTTTGGTAGGAAAATATAAGATTCCCAACCTTAAGATATGATTCTAGTACTATAATAATGAGTTTCCTCCAGCCCACTTAGAATGCTGTTTCTTTGACTTGTATGAGTGGCTTACACTTTATGGTGACACGAGTAGCCAGTCACATTCACTCCATCTTAGCTGCATTAGAACCATTCTTTCAGTCCATGTTCAGTGTTGACTTTTGTGTGCCGCATATTTTGGGCACAACTCTGAAGAAAATAAAGCACGTTCCTATTTTATAAGGTTTACAGTCCAGGGGAGAAGACATAAAACAAATATACAGATGAAAGAGTGTTGTAAAAAGTCACAAGTGATCTGGAGCAGTTAGGACAAGATGACATATAGGCAGCTTTATTGGACTAGGCTGAAGGCTGTGGCGGGGAGGATGTTTCAGGCATGGACGAGAGCCCTCAGGTGGGAAAGTTTAGCATTGCAGAACTAGAACAGGTCTGGTATGGCGGGAGGGTCATATTGATTGGTGGCCTACTTAACACCAGTATCCCTCTTCTCCTTCCTAACCTTATCTCCATTTTTGTTTTGATGTCTCCAGTTTTAGAACTGACCTAAATTGGCAGACACCATAAGCCTATTTCTTAACTCTTGCCAAACATTGATTCAGGATCAGATAAATAACCTTAACTACTGACTATAAACCAGGAAGAATGTAATTTGCAGTCCCCCACAACCATGAGAGAAGCCCAAAAAGGCACCTTCTCAGCAAAGTGAAGTGATATAAACATGCCTGTTCCTTCGTAACGTTGTGGAGTCCCTGTATCACCAAACTTCCCATCTTCGCCTACTGCCGGGCTTTTCAGTCATGGGAGCCAGTAGCCCCCATTCACACTTCAGCCAATTAGTTCAGTTTTCAGTTATCTGCAACTGAAAATACCAAACTGATTTTTTTTAAAAAGGAGAGGAAAAAGAAATAGCTAAGGCCTTATTCTTTCTATGATGGCATCTCATTTCCTCCTTTTACTCTTCTCAAATAATACCCCATCTCAAATAATACCACTTTAGATCACTCTAGAACCATTTCCCTAGCACAAGTACTTATCCTGTGCTAACATGTATTTAACTGGTGGTTATTTTTCTATGTACAAAATATCTTCCACTTGTTCCTTTAGATCCAGATTCATACCTGCAAAGGTTACCTATGAGTTGCCTCCATGGCCTTCTCTGTCTTTTGTACCCGAGCTGGGCCAGTGCAGTCTGGGCAGAATATGGGAGAAGAAAAGAGGGTCATAAGAGAGGGTGTTTATTCCCTGTTCTGTCCCTGTGAGGTCCCTGCAGCAGATCACTGTTGCTTTCAGATTGGCCTGTTTTTCGTGATGCTCTTTTCAAGTTCCAGTAATCTTCTTGTCCTTTTTGCTTAGGAATGGTGACAGCTCCATTTCTGCTAGTGTGTATCCTGTCCACTCCTTTGGAAATAAATCATCAAACCATGCTAACTCATGAATGCCATGTTTGCTTAGCCTGTTAATGCTTTAGATCTAAAGTGTCCTGCAAAAACCTTGTGTATTCAGAGGAAGGATGTTTTGAAGGTGCCTGCATTGTGGGGAACTGTGCTCATGATGGATTCGTCTCTTGATGAGTTCATAGCTGAATATGCTGTTTGGAGGTAGGGCCTGACCAGAAGAGCTGGCTTCCTGGGGTGTGACTGGAAGGCTATGTTCTTGTCCCTGGCTGCTCTCTTCACTCTCTGCCTGGCTGCCACAGATTGAGCAGCTTTTCTCTCCCATGCATTTCTACATGCTGTATCTGTGTTGGAGCCAACCAACCATGGGCTGAACCCTCTCAGACTATGAGACAAAAGAAAACTGTCTATCTCTAAGTTGTAGCTATCCGGCATTTGTCCCAGGAATGGAAAAGTAACTAGTAAAAGGCTGTAATATTAATAAGGCCAAGGTTATGAAGTTAATTACTGTCTAGGTTACTTGACTTAAGACGGAAAATTGTGTTTCAGAAATGTAAGATTTACCCCGTTATGGTTTAAAGCTAAAATATCCCCCAGAAGTCTGGTGTTCAGAGATGAGGCTTTTGGAAGAGAGTGGATCACGGAGGCACTGTATTCATCAGTGACCCATTGAAAAGTTCACAATTGTTAGAGTTGGACCATGGCTAGAGGAAGTGGGCCATGGGGTGTGGCCCAGGAGGCATGTAGGCTTATCCTTGGCTCTTCCTTTTTCTCTCAGCTTCCTAGCTGACGTGGGCTGGGAATCTTTCCTACACCAGATCCTTCCACTGTGTGTTTCTTTCTTGAAGCCAGCCAGCCTAGACCAAACACTTTGAAACTGTGAGCCAAAATAAACTTTCTTCCTTTAAGTTGTGGTTGTTGGATATTTTGTCCCTGTGATGGGAAAGCGACCAATGAGAGGCTGGGGATTTAGCTCAGCAGCATAAGCACCTGCCTTGCAAGCAGGCAGTCATGAGTTCGATCCCTGGTACTGGAAAAAAGGAAAAAAAAAAAAAAAAAAAGGAAAGCGACTAATGCACACCCCAGACCTCACCTTTGCAAAATGCATGAACTCATGGAATGGAAAATATGAATGAAGGGGTTCATTCAGATGCATCATTAATCTACTAATTTGGGTCAATCTTGTCATCTTGACTCAGAAAGAGGCTGCTTATATATTTATTTATTTAACTTCAAATTTAATCCTGGGCCTTTGTATTGCCTATATCTCTACCCTTCCACCCCTTCTCCTCATTAAGACAGGATCTCACACAGACAATACGTTGTCTTGGTTGGGCTGGAATTTGTGGTCTTCCAGACCCAGCTTCCCACAGAGCTAGTATTATAGGGATGTAACCACCACATCCAGCTAGGATTCTGCCTTTAAAAGAAAAAAGTGCCCCATGTAAGTATTTATACCTTGTCATATGCATAGAATTTCACTACTTAAAGTAACGATATTTCATGTAATAGGTGTTGTTTTCTAGAAGTCTGGATTCACAGTGTGAGAATTGGAAAGCACAAGAGTCCTCTTGGCTTCCTGTCATCATGCATGCACAAGCTCTCAGTGTCACCCTCACCTGTGCCCCATGCTCACAGCACTTCGGAGTCTGGTGACTCTAATTGGTATGTGGTGATTTTGTTTGTTTGTCCAGGCCTGATAGCAAATCCTGGGCTTGCTGCATTCTAGGCACATACTGTATTACTGAGCTACATGCCAGCATGTGTCTGTCTCATTTCAATCTGAAACATCCTGGTTACTGTTAGATTTTTCCTAGATGCTGCAGGAAACCAAGAGCAGAAAAAGAAGGAAAAAGGCCTTTATTGTGGGTATGTGAGGGCTGCAGAAGAGTGCAAGGTCCTCTGGAGGCAGACAAAGAAGCAGTGGGCTTTTATTTGGTTTGAGAGCATGGAGTTTGAAGGGGTGGGCAGAATGATGTATTGACAGATGATTGGGGGAATGTTGGTATGACACACATGCACAAAAAGCAGGAAGTTCAAGTTTGGCTTGGAAGTCTTAACACAGAAGTTAGCATAGAAGGGACATGCTACCGTCCTTAGGGTCCAACACCATGCTAGGCAGGCGCCACCATGAGCCTGGCAGAGCTTCACAGAGGCAGAACCCATCAATAACGTTTAACATTGCAAATGTTTTCATATGCTAACCTACTGTCTGTATATCTTTGGTGAGATGACTGTCTTTGGACCGTTTTAAATCTTTTTTTTTCATATAATTATTAGATAATTATAGGGTGCAGTGTGATATTTTATATATGTATATAGTTTGCCATGATCAAATAAGAGTATTTAGCATCTCCTTAAGCATTTATTATTTCTTTGTGTTGGGACTCTTGTAATTCTTCATAAAATATGTAATAAATTGTTGTAAACATGGTCACCTTCCTGTGCTATAGAGCATTAGACTATATCCCTCCCATGGAATTACATTTTGGTACGTGTTGTTAGACTCCCTCTGTTTCTCTCCATCCCTCCCCTTCCTAAACTCAAGTGGCCACTATGCTACTCTTCATTTCTATGAAAATCAACTGTTTTAGCTTCCACATGAGTGAAAATATGCAATATTTTGTATTTTTGTCAGTGATTTAAGTATTAATATCCCTAAAAACTTGCTCATTAAACTATTTGTATGTCTTTATTCAGCTATTGTACTGTTGCGAAAAGTACATATCTGTATCTAGTATCTGTAATTATTGTTTTTGCATTAAATAAAATGAAAAGTTTCATTGTAATAAAATCAACTATTTTATTTCTAATGTGACACTGACCTGCAGATTAAATGGAGCTCATGTAAATCCATCAAAAAAAAGACCCTTATCAGGTTTATTGAGAAGGTGAAGAATATCTGTCTCCAAGAACAAGTGAATGAGGTGCTTGCAAGAAGGCTTGCCCATCCCAAGCCTGTGCTCTCAGCCAGGGCCGCCTGGACTGATGGATAGGGTAGGGGGCAGCAGGCTCTATCATTCTAGAAAGCCTTATGTAAGGGTCTGTACACCAAATTGTTCTTGCAAGAGAGATTTGTGTAATGGAAAAGAGAAAATTTTGTTTCCTTTTGACTTCAAAGTCTGAATAATAACAAACATAAATATAAAATAATTTACAAACCAATTTTTAATATTTTGTAGATCCTAGGTACACTAGTTTTACATTTTGTGTATTTTATGTAGCTTTTTAAGGAAAGCTTTTTTTGGCTTTCTTTCTAATCTAATCGAATCTAGTAACATTGACTATATCACTCAGTTAAAACTTCTAATCATTAATTTTCCTAAGGATAATGTTCATTTTTCTTTTATACTGTTCTGTGATTTTGTCCAGAACAGTTAAGTTATTGGTTTATGATAAGGTGGAATTCCTTTCAGACTCAGTTGTTAGATAAACTGAGTATTGCAGTGCTGAATACTGGGTTCACCATGATGGCAATCACCAGGAATGCCCGATGCTATCTGTGAGCAGCACTCACATTCTCTGCAGTTTGTCTGAGTGAGCATGGGTGCGCTGAGGAGATAGTGATGTGAAGCAGACCACCCCTGCCAGGGTGGGAGGTGCAGGAAAACAGCATGGTATTTATGGCTCTAGGAACTGTAAGTTGTAATTTAATGAGATCAAAGAATGTGCTGTTTATTTGCTGCACTAGCAGCTTTGAATAAAATGGTTAGAAAACAGACAATGTACTAAAAGTTCAGGCTATTTAAAAGCTTATAAAGGCTATAAAATCGAAAGCATAATTTTCAATTGAAAATCATTTCTTGGAGGTCTTTGATTTTAATTTATTATGCTCTTAAAATTTTAATTCATATGTAAGAGAGAGATATGTGAAATTATTATGTTTTATTTTGTCAGCCATATGTTAGTTTTCCATTACTACCCTTCTCATTACTTCCCTGTTACTTCCTAATAATTAATAGGAATTGATGCATTTTAGTGTATCTTCTATAAAGTACCTGATTCCAACAGCTTCACATTTTCAGTTATTAAAAAATGTAGAAAAACATAAAACTTCATTGCATTTTGAACCTTGAAGAAGAAAAACACCTTTGAAAAACTACCCTTTAGTCATTCAGCTAATTGTGAGCTATATTAGTGAATGCAAGTTCTGCCATCTACCTCTCATCAGTGGGACATGATGTCTTGGGAGTGAACTTTGAACAGATTACCAGTATAAAGCAAACCATCTAATAATTCACTTCCTAAATTCTTTGAATATTTACCTCACACAAATATATCTGTCCTTAAAATTTCAAAAAGTAAATGCCAGCAGCCGGGTGTGGTAGCTCACACCTGCAATCCCAGCACTCAGGAGGCTGAGGCAGGAGGATCGTTGCGAGTTCAAAACCAGCCTAGACTACAAAGTGAGCTCAAGGCCAGCCTGAACTGCACAGTGAGACCCTGTCTCAAAAAGACAAAAAAAAAAAAAAGAAAGAAAGAAAGAAAAAGAAAAAGTAAATGCCACTTTCCTTTAAAACATTACATGTAAAAGCAATTTGAAAAGAAGATTTTAGAAATACTTATGTGAAAAAGGTATATATACATATATTAAAGTCAGTATCACTGTGCCTTTTCAAAAACAGTATCAGTTGAGCATAAAAGATTTTTAATTACTCTGATAGCATTTCACCAAATAGTGCAATACATTTTAACCTCAGTTAGAGTCCTTTAGCAGAAATCTTACCTTTGAGTTAATTTCACAAATCATTAGGACATTGATTACTAGAAAAACTAGAATTATTTTTCCATCTTTAGTATCTACAGTCATTTTAATATTATCCCATGTTTTTCTGATCTTACCCATAATGGAAATTGCAAAGTCTTATGAATTATTCGGTTTATTAAATTAAGGCCATTTGATATATGAACTAGAATAATAATTTATTATACTGTCTTTCTATAATTGCTGCTCAGCATGTTCTTGAATCTGAACTTAATGATATAGAATGTTGGTTATAACAAAGTTATTTTTGAGCTATAAAATATGCTGTTCTTTTAAAGTTAACATAATGCTGATAACTCACCATCTGGTAAGTTTTATTTTTCAAGTGTTTGTAATAAAACTACTCTGGTCCGTTCACATTTAAACATGGAATATCTCTTAAGTGTGCTGCTGTTGTTCCCTTGAATGGAATCAAGTTAGCTGATTCAGCACTAAGTGGAGCCACCTTTTTTTTTTTTAATGGATTACATATTGTCATCTTAGAAATAATTGTTCAAGTCACAAAATTAAAGCTTGTAAAGTGGACATTCCATCAATGATATTGCAAACAGTTCTGTTCATTGATCCAATAAAACTCTGTGATATCATTTTCTATCTTATACACTTAAATATACATGCAGTTATATAGTTTGGAGCACTTTCTTTTCCTCTCTTTTGTACCATGACTATTACACATTTTGGGTTTCATTGCTCCCACGGTTCTTATTGCTTTTTTGGAAGAGAGTAAAACTAAATGTGACATAACAGAACAGAATCAGTCAAGTCAAAAGGGTGGACATAATAGATAATGTAAAAACATAATACAAGGTGATCAACAATGGTTACCATAATGCCTCCCGCTATCTCTAATAGAATTGCCTATATCATTAGTTATAATACAATTGAACAAAACAGTAAAGAATAAAACCGACAAAACCAAAACATTGGAGACATTGTAGGTCTTCAAAAGAAGATAAAAGTCAACGAGAATGGGCGTCATAATGAATCTCATTATCTTCACAGCTGATGCCTAAACTTTCGAACCTGATACTATCCAGCAAAACAGAATAGGGGAACATCAGTTAAAAACCAGATGGTGAGAGTAATACAGGGCTTTAAATCAAGGTAATGAAAAGTCAAAGTGGGTTACTATAATATATCCTGCTATTTTTTTTCCTTTAATTAAAAGGATAAAGATAAAAAAGTAAATAATGGAGTGGAGATTGAGATAAA